TGAACTATAATTGATTTTAATTCTGATCAGAGTGATGCCTTCAATATTGAACTCTTTTTGGCTTTTAATGCAGTTTAATAGTTTAGTCAATCAGCTTTTGATTTTGCACATTTGGCAGCAACTTTTCTAATTTACAGTATCTTAAAGATGTTTTCCCTTTATCTTTTCTCAGCTTCAAGGAATCAATTTTGTCACTTACGGAGCATACAGACAAGCAGGTACATTTGAAAATATGTTAWAAGATTTTTGCTGCATTGTTATTTTCAAAATGTATTTTTTCGTTTATATAGCAATTGATCATTTCATCTTGTTTTTTTCTTCCCTCCGTAAAGCWAATTATTTGTTGATTACTGTTTATGGTGGGGGGTTGTTGGGAAAAATATCTCCTGTTACCCCTTCCCTATTCCCTTCATGTCCCTTCTATATGACTTCGACTTGTCATCTTTTTTTCTCGCTCCCATTACCGTTTAAWTTACATATGCACCCCTTACATTTACGTGATCATCCTTCTACATTTGCATAACCACGCCTTTATAGTTACGTATTCACTCCCTACCTTACACATGTCGAAATTTGATTGGAGTAACAGTGAGGGAAACATGTGACTTTTATCCGGATTGTTGAATCCATTGGTTTTTTAATGCTTTAAATTCAGTGATATTGATGTGCTTTTGAACCTTTTGATTTGTTTTTACGGCTGACAGGTCCACCAAATTGCACGAAATTTCCGTGATCGGTGGATCCCTTGGTCCGCCAGAAAAGTCAATTGGGCAGATAGGGACGTTGAAAGAATGGAAAATCAAGCGAGCCCAAACTTCAAAACAATTCCAGTGCAACATGATCGGGATAGAAGACCTTCTGAAGTTGCAGATAACTGTATTCAGCAGTCATTTAGTGGAGTTGATGCTAGAACTGTAGAAGGATCTGCTGCATCATGTCTCAGTAGTTGCACCGATGGCACGAGAACCAGAAAGCGTAAAAGTCGTTGGGATGAGCCTGGTGATGTGAAACCCGATATAGAATCTCCATCAAACAAAGAACATAGATCAAAAACCAGCAGAAGTGAACAAGTCAACCATATGGTGCAAGAAGAAAGACAAGTAAACAACGATGAGGATGGGGATGCTCCTCCTGGATTTTCATCTCCAATTAACCGACAATTATTCCCATCTAATGCACCTTCAACTTCCACCGACACCAACTGTTGTAAATCCGTGATGGGGTATCCACAAGAAAGATACATTTCACGGTTACCCACTTCATTCGGGGTTCCATGTTCTGTTGTTCAACGATTAGGGACACCTGAAGGAGAGAGTTGGGTTGTTGGTCCAGCCACGACTTTTCATCCTTTTCCACCTTTACCTTCATATCCCCGTAAAGAAGAACAATTATGGCGTAACAATTGTACATCATCAACAAATTCCGCTACAGACATGCCATTCAACCAGCCCAATTTTCAAAGATTTAGGAACTCCAATTCCAATAATACCCTTGGTAGGAGATACTTCAAGCAGCAAAAGTGGAATAACTCAAAATCAGGGCTTCCATGGAACCATAACAAGTATGGATCTGCAAGTTATAACCGGGGGTATGGGAGGAATGAAGCAGCAGGAATGATGAATGGAAGTTGTGGGAACAATTTTTATCAGCAGCCACAGCAGTGATGATTCTATCTCTAATCTACGATGGTATTTTGTTTTTCTGTGTACTTTTTTCGGGTAATCGGATAATTTTCTTGTTAATTATTGCGTTAAATTTCACCACCTCAATTTTTATAGAGCCAAAGTGATAGTCGTTACAGATAGCTATTGCCTGCTTGGGTACACAACAGATTATTCGCCTCGAAGAGGTAAAGCTTTCGCCATTCTGCTTGTTTGACTGATATTGAGGTATCATGAAATAAATTACATTTGCTCATCTGTTTTCTGAAGGATGCTTTTTTTTCTTTTTATACTATTAGTTGATTTTTTCATGTGGTTAGAAAGCAGATAGTTGCAAAACATGCATACATTATTAACCTTCCTRCAAGGCCAAGGTTAGCTTTCTCTATCCTCTATCAAATATTACTCGACTACATAAWCGGATTATGTCCGGTTATGCAGGGRCTGGTTGTAATTTTTTAAGATAGACGGATAAGGCCCTAGCGGTTACAAACTTCTTGATGACTGGTTTTGTAACCGAAATGGTTCCTTTTTGAACCACTTCTTAACCCGCTAGTTTGTAATGGGGATATTCCGTGGTTAAATCAAGTTTCGGATTTAATCGGTTCTTCATGCTATCTAATAACTTAATCCGAATGAGGTTCCGTTTAATTGGTTTTGGGTTATTCGGCTTTTTGGGTATTTGGTTCAGTAATAAAGAGTTGGATGTTTATTCACATTTGTCTTCAACATTTTACTTGCGGGTGCAACGCCTKATGCTTTTGTTATTCGGTTTTATTAAAATAGTAAAAAAGAAGGAACCAAATAAAATATTATTATTGAGTTAATCGAACAGGAATTTCATTTTCTTTATATTTAGTGTATAACGTTAGCTAAGAGTTGAGATTTGTTGGGTCAAAGGCGGCGTTTTCCATCATATATAATTATTCTAAGCATTAAATGCTTGACTTTTGCCTACGTTAATCTAAGAKGCCGTTTACCAAACGCTTACTCGAGTAAGTGTTTACCAAGTCACATTATCTAATCGGATAAATATGCTAAGGATCAAGAATCTTATCCGGTAAGAGCGATACAAGAACCAAAAGTCTTATCTACTGTACTCGACCAGGGATGGACGTAAACTCGAACTGTAATTATAGCCTTCGCTTGAACAGAAGAGAGCGATGCGAACTAACAGTGCCAAGCCGGGATTCTAGGGAGTGCTTTGTAGCTTTTGTTCATGAGCGAACAACCACTAAATTGCTTGCTCACGTACATYGGCGAACAACCGAACCCTTGGGACCTTCAACCCTAGGATGTGATGAGTCGACATCGAGGTGCCAAACGGCTCTGACTCTTACCATGGTAAGCGATTACMGGATAAATTYTTGCATGYGATGTCATTTTGCTGAACTAAAATCTTACTCGATAAGTAAACAAYAATRTTAAATTTTACTGGTAAACACTTACCGATAAATATTTGGTAAACAGCCCCAAAATTCTTCCGAGTTGSTATTGACTTTATGTTAAATTTATTMTAYSAGGATTCTTCTTTCTTTTMTGATTTTGAATAATTCTTTTCGTGATCATATTTTAGTTTTTTCTACGTTWTGTATTATTATTAAAAGAAGTGTGAACTTTATTATTTTAGAAATTATAAAAATCAATTATATATTTTAACATTTTAAATGATTTGTTTTTTGAATGTGAGCAAATATATTGCTCATGGGTTTTGTCATGGCTCATGTCGTTGGGCCAAGACAATGATCTATKACATAAATGTACAAATGTGTAACCATAAGGGTGGTGCCTGATTGATTTGAGCTTGACTTCAAAGGTCAAAAGTACCTGGAGGTCCTAGATTCAAATCCAATGAGGAATAAAAATCCCCTTGTGGGCACGGAGGTTCAAATGCGGCGACTCCGGGCTATTTGCAAAGCAGGATTAGTCGGCTCGCATAGGGGTTGGATATCCAGGTTAATAAAAATAAAATAAAAATGTACGAATGTGGTAAATTGTGTCCGAGTGTTTCAAAAAGTCACATGTTAAGAGTGAAACAACAACCAAGTTAAAGATTAAAGTCGTTCAATTTTCCATGATTATATATGTTTCACGTTTGGGTAGAGAGACTTGTTTGGTATCTTGGTTGAAATACATCTGGATCTACTTTTGAATTTGGGCATTGTCGAACAAGAAGCCTAAAAGAATCACCAATTTTGCATATTCAACCCAAAGTAAGAAACTCTTTTCCCATTAAAACATAGTTTACAAATCGAAATGTTGTCAAGTKGGAGCTTTTTGGTTGTGTTCCTCAATCATTCTCATAAAGTGATCATGTGATAATCCAAGACCCAACATGGAAACCGGAACCAAAAAGATTTTGAGATGCCATTTTTCAGTTTTAGTTATCTCGAAATAAAATTTAACAAAATCGTAAAAGTAGTAAGCATTGTGAGATTGAAAGAAGTTGAAAATCAGTAATGAGACCAACCCAATTAGAGAACCCGTTGTACTAACCCCGATGGAATTAGGGATTCCCCACAAAACCGGGGATTAGGGATGGGGACAGGGATCTCTTAAAGTTAAACAATGAGTATGGGGATGGGGCCGGGTCCCGCATCGTCCGTCCCTGTATATTAAYTATATTATATATTCGTTATTAAACATATTGTATATTTATTATTAAATATATTATTTGTAAAAAATTTGATTTAGAAAAAAAAAAAGAATTTTAATCTTTCTTCTTATATACATTTTTTAAAAAATTTCTTGATAAAAAACATGGAAAAGCGAAAACATCTGATCAAACAATTACTTATAATGTTGTGATTTGTTAACATATGAATATTTGATACTTCATAAAATCAATTATTTGGAAATATGTGAGATTTAAGCATGAACCATTTTGAATGAGTCTGGTAAAATCTCACGTAAACGAAAAAAGAAAATCCTCRATTCGGGAACGGGGATTGGGCCCTCCATTCCCATGCCTATCTTTCGACCAATTACATGACAAATGGATGTCTGATTGGATCTTACTGGTTACATGCGATGTTGGGTATGATYGATTGGGCTTTAACTGATTAYTTTTTCAATTAACYTGATTAAAAGACCTAGTTGGGCTTACCGGTCYCRGTCCCGTCCTCCGGCGGTCTCGGGYCGGGCCGGTTTGGCCATCACTAGGTGTATGTGTGTTTGTATRATTTTCTTATGGGTTATGATTTAGGAAGGAAGAAGAAAGAAAACAAAATGCATATGGGTTAAAAAAAGAGGAGAGGGAAAAAAATGAAATACGTATCTTTTATTATTATTATTATAAAGAAATACATATATGCATGAAACACACGCTCATACTCGTTGTTGTATGGTTCATGCAACCTCAAAGATTCATGTAAACAGGTTTCAATGCAAGTATACAAGTTGGTCTATTATTGTCTTGTTAATAAGTAATAACGGTAAAAATACCGAATATCGATCCAATGGRAAGACTTGTAAAAGTTTCTCAATAATCCAATAATTTTAAACCAATTTCAGATGGAGATTTTAAAGAAATTGTTTGGTGTGTGTGAGTTATTAACTAGAAAAATCAGCTGTAATAGAAGAAGCAAATGGCGCAAAGGTTTGTTAATACAAAAACAAATCATCTAGTTTACTACAACCAAATCGAGTTTATAGGACACTCTCAATTTCTAAGCGTCCTAATAGACCTCTTTATAGGACTTCGTTTATAGGACCAAAAAAATAAAGCGTCCTATCTAAAGACGTTATAATAAGTTTATATGACGTTTTTTGACGTCATAATAAATTTTTTAGGACACTTTTAATATAAAACGTCCCATTAGCAACTTTATAAGACATTATTTGAAAAACTGTCCTATAAAAACAAATGTTCTATAAAAAATTGAGTTTATAGGACACTTTGTATTAAAAATGTCCTAAAAAAACTTGTTAAGACGCCCAAAAACGTCATATAAACTTATTACAACACCTATAGATATGACATTTTATATTTTGGTCCTATAAATTAAGTCCTATAAAGCGGTCTATTGAGACGCTTAGAGATTTGGGGCGTCCTATAAACCCAATTTTGTTGTAGTGGTAATAACACTTCTAGACAGTCCTATAGTACCAYAAAATGGTGCCACAGTACTGTCRCAGGYATCAACTTTCGGGTCTGACGTCCTCCTAAGAGTACGCACAATCTCATTGCTATAGATACAACATCATTTATGTTAAACRTCATAAATTTTAGCACGAYACARTGTTACCATCTTATACCGTAAGAGTATAGCACTTGTTAGGTACTAAARCTATTTATAGACTTCTCATATTATCTCAAGTTTTCATATTTATCTTAGCTCTCTAACAGTAGTGGGTTGAGGCCAGCTCAACATGTTGTCAGTCTTGCTTTTATTTGTTGATACCCCTTCACTGCTCACCACATKCCCWAAATACTCTAACCTTGCCTGACCGAAAGAGCATTTCGATTTCTTCACAAACAACTTGTGTTGTTTTAAAGTTTCAAACACTATCCTCAAGTGTTGCAAGCGGCTATCTAGGCTGTCAATGTAAATCAAGATGTCATCGAAAAAACCAGTAAAAATTTCCTCGTATAATCCATGAAAACCTCATTCATTAAAGCCTGAAATGAGGCTGGAGCATTAGTTAAACCAAAGGGCATAACTCTTAACTCGTAATGGCCCTGGTGAGTTCGAAATGCAGTCTTGTGTATATCATCTTCAAACACCCTGTGATAACTGGATCTTGGTTTTCACCTAAGGTAAATATTATGTGATTATTTGTTATGTGTTTACCTGACAGCATCATAAATTGTTATATTTAATCATGCTAGTATGTGAAATTATATGCATATATGAGTGTGCATTAAGTATGTGGGTATAATTTTATACATGATAAAATACATGCATAAGGTGTGTATCTGAATATGTGAAGATGCATGTGTATGTGTATATGGRTTACATGCATGCATGGATGATTTATATGAAAGCATGCATGTGGGTGAAGGCTACATGTGGTAGCCGACCTTCCTGTTTGGGAAGGGTATATATAAAAGGGAGGTTAAGCCTCCATTAAATCTTCTTGCTATTTTTGAGAAAAGTTGAGCGATTTAGAAGAAAAGAGTTTACCGAATTATTTCTTGTCTAAAAATCAAGTTGGTTTTCAAAAKRAAGTTGCATAAGGTGAGTGATTGTTAYTACTTTTAAACTYTTCATAATTGTATAATTTAGTATRRAACTTTAYTTTTGRTTTAAGAG